TTTGACTTAGTGTTATAAAGCATGCAAGGTCACTATGGTGTTTTCAGATGGGCTCCTGGTGGGTGAAGCTGGACCACATGCTGCTTTGGTCTCTCCTGGAGGTTGGCCACACAGGGTGCTGGTGTGCATCAGCACAATGGGCAGGAATGGAGAAGTCCAGCCCCTTCACTACTCTCCATAAGTTTCGAGGAGCTCAGTTTCATCTTGTCACTATGGCTGCCTAAAGTATGGCCATAGAACCAATCTTTTGTCAACTGGCCATTTTATGAGTGCTTAACTCACCCTCCAGCCTGTTCTCTCAGTACTGATCCTATAAGAATTCAGGCTTTTTCACTTCACACAGTTTAGTGAGCTCAGTGCATGACCCTAAAAAGGAAGAGGAAGAAAACCCCAAGCTGTGTGAAGCAAAAATTAAACAACAGGGTTTTAAATGATGGGGGAAAAAAACGTCATTAGGTGCTAGTAATTTAACATTGTGGATCAAAAGATGTTGAGAATGTTTAATGAGCAAGTCCTGAGACAATGAGATAAGAGCTAATGAACTGATTAACCTGCTGGTTTCAGTAGGATGACATTCAAGAAAACAAAAGTGAAAATCTATATAGGGAGTGCCTTATGTGTCTCTCACTGGCTGCCAGTCCATTTTTAACTTCAGACTACAATTATTAACTTCAGTCTTGCTACGAGGTACCAATCAGGAGCCTAGCATTATTGCTGTAACAAGGGATGTCTTAAAATGTTTCTACAAACTCTTTTATTTACTATTCATAGTAATTGAAGCCCAGTTCAAAGCAGCATTACTTTTTCTGTAACTTAGGTGAGATTCAACCATGTAAAAATAAAGAATCTGGATTTGAAGTGCAAGAATTACAGCTAATAGATTTTATTCAGGATATCACTTTATCTGAGTCTTCTGGGAAGTATGTGTTTCTTGTTAGGTGCTGCACATCACTGTCTGCATGCCAGTCTATAGGCATGCAGGCTTATTCTACTTCTTTTTCCCCTTGCTTTTTGCTGCATAGCTTTTCTAGTGTGGATACTAGATGTGCTGATATCCCTTTGAAAGTCAGCAGATAATGTTCCTTACAAAGTTTGTAATGTCCAGGCTAATGCCCTTCACAAAGCATTGTCAAATTTCCATCTCTTCTTTCATATATTCTGTTGAACACAGGGTAAGGGAAGGATAATGTGAGAATCTGATACAGTCTGACAGACTGTTTAAATTGAAAAGACAGACAAAACCAGAGATGGGAACTGGAAGAATGGAGACAGTGCAATTCCCTTCAAAAAATTCCAGAAATTGTTACCTCTACCTTCAAAAATGAATGAAGGACCATTCAAGTCTTCCTGATATCAGCTACTTTCCCTTCATTAACTACACTGCCATAAAATAATGTGATAAGCAGTTCAGTAGCAATTTGCCATCTGCCCTCACAGATCATGACTACAGTTATGAATCAAGTAGACCTAAGTAGCCTCCCACCCACCTCCCACTGCGCAAATGAAACCTAACTCTTAATTAGCTGAGCTACTTGGCCAGTACTATATGAACAGCAAGTAACCTAAAGTAGCTGGTATGAGAAAAAAACACACCAATCCAAACAACGTGATATAGTTTCTGGTCTCATTTTCTGAATAATTTTCCATCTCAGAATATATTGTGAAGTCCTTTTTCTTCGCTCCTTTATAGTAGAAGGGGTTTGTAATAGAAGCTGCCTTGCTTTTGTGTTCAACACTTTTTCTGTAAGTAAGTATTTACAAAATATTGCAAAGTGACAAAAACTGGTGAAGTTCTATGAAACATTTCAAGCCCACCCATCATTTTATGGGGAAGTACTACACAACTCAGATGAAAAACATTGTTAATGCAGTTCGCTGTAAAGCTTTTAAAACAGTGTCAAAAAAACTCTCCTAGCCAGGAGAAAACCTGTAGGATGTCTCCCGCCCCACCTTTCACCAGCTTCACTTGGGACCATAGAGAGGGAGAAACCCTCTAAAATCAGAATCTTTCCTCTAGTGATGGGTGAGTCAATCCAATAATGACTAAAATGTTGGAAGCGATTTGCTCCAACAAACACTGTAAAAAAACCCCGCTATAAACCAAGTCTCAGCATGCAGCAAAGTTTTTATAGCTGAGGAGCAATGATGGGATTTATGATTCAAACACTGATGGAACCTTAAATATAGTGATCCAAGTGGGAGTTATTTTGTTCAAATATACTCTTTCAGGCTCTAAATGCTTAAAGTAACAGAAAGAAACACCAGGAAAACAGCATGGGCCATCTTCATTTAGGGCTTGTCTTCACTGTACAAGTTACTTTGAAGTTAATACTCTCAGGATACCCTCTTTGAGCTAGGTTTGAGTGAAAGATTACACTTCAGAATAACTCTTGGCTTTCAGAATATGTCTGCAGAGTCTCCTGCAGGCAAACCTGTGATGGCTCTGCCATGTGCCCAGATGCCTGGCAGTGTGGCAGGCAGCTGAATCATTCTGCCAGCAGCACAGCTGGGTTAAAAGTCTACTGTCCCCCTCAGCTCTGCTAGTCTGACTGCTCAGTGACGGCTCTCTAGCCTGGTTCTGTGATGTGTGATGGTTGATAGTAGAGCTCCTTTCTGATACTCCTAAAATAGTTCATCTGACTATGCTGTGGGCTCAGGGCTTCAAAATAAATCCCCACGGCATATCATTAGCTTAAGCATCAGCAGCACTCCAGCTTTAGTACAATCTTTTCCTGCTACTGAAAAGGGAATTTTTGAAACATCACTAATCTAAGGCTGGGGCCATTCATGTGTAGAAAGAGATCACACTGGGAATAAAATGTGATTTTAATTCAGAATTTAACCATGCAGGAATACACGCCATTCAGCTAACAGTCCTGAAACAAGCTTCCCACAACATAATGGATTCTGAATTGCTCTGCACCTTTGACTAGCCAGTTGTTGTGCTGCAAAGCAACACAACTACCGTCTGCCCTGCAGAGAAGCCACACGGCAGTGATGCTCTTGGCTTTGCTCAGGTGCAACAGGAAATTGTCATGTTCATCTGGGACAGCACACAGAGCTTTGAGAAAATGCTATTGAACTTTTAATGGTAAGTTATCATTGGTGGTATTTACATCTGATCTAAAAATGGCTATGACAAATAGAAACATACATAGGTTTTACATGTCCTTAATTTGCAACACTTGTCCATAGACTTTAGTTCATGGTGGTATGAATGTTCTCTTAAGGATTGTTTCTTCATTCATGAATTAAAGATCCCATGCAAACTACTTTTGTTGTGCTCTAACACTATAAGCAGGTTGTTGAGAGAGGCACCAAATTAATGTTTGTATGGCTAGAGAATAACAGCTACTATTGCAAATTAATTACTGCTTTGACTGGCTGACATCTTCACCAATGCCTTCAGCATGCTAATCCAATGCTTAATAATGTATTCCTGAAATCAAAGGGTTAAAGAGACCTGTTTCCCCAGGATGCCATTTAAATGAGTTGTTCATTTGAGATAGTTTTGAAAAAGTAAGGTTCATGGAAGTGATGAAGCATAAAATAGAGAGGAAAAGTGCTGAATCACTAGCTGTAGTCTGTGCTTCTTTATATTTTTTATTTTACTTTTCATTTTAAAGGAAGGTAGGAATGTGCATTTAAGGGCAGACTTTATTCATGCACAATACCAATCTTTACCTAAAATCTTTTTATTTGTCTGTATGTTGTACGTTTAGTTGTGATTATACATGATCTAGTAACACTGGCATACATTTACTGATGCTGCTCCTCAAAAGGCTTCACTTGCTTTAAGAATGCCATTGTCCCTTGCACTGTATTTGATTTTACATGCTGTGTAACTTTTTACTATTCTGCTGCTCTAAAATGGCTTCAATTAAAGGTGTCTCAGGAGTTTTGTTCAGTTAGAAGTCCACCAAACAACAGCAAAAGAGTAACGAGTATAGACCTTTAGTAAAGAGTATTATCAAAAAAAAGAAAGTTTTTTTAATGAAATGTGATTAAACCTTTTTTTTTGGCCATTTTTGGGCATTTAGGAACAACATTTAAGTTCAAGAGTGACAGATTTAAGTTCAGAGGTCTAGACGTATGAGCAAGTCTGACAGTTGCTGCTGTACAAGTGACTGAAACCTGTTATGACACTTCCTTAGACTGTAAATGAAGCTTTGACTGGTGTTGGGACAGGGATTGTGCGTTCAGTTTGGAGAATGTGTAATACTGACAGTATATATAGTATATTCCGTTAGCTTCACAAAACCCAGGTGGATACTGATACAGTACCTCCACGGAAATAAGGTCACCAACGTTTTCCTGTGTCTGAGGAGTGAAGAATTAAACTCTCTAATTAACTGCAGCATTAAGATGCCTATTGTGTCACCTGAACTTACATCAAATAGTCACAGGAAGCAAGGGGGAAGGTCTTCAAACTGGAACTGTTCCAGGCAGAATAATAATGTTCTGCCCTGACAACAGTTTTCTGGTAAAGCTGGTACAACACTTTTTGTATAGTTCCACTGATATCAGTGGTGCTACTTGTCTGTGAAGAAGCCATTCAAAATGGCCTCAACACACATCATCTCAGCTTAGTCACACCTTCTTCGTTCAATATTTTTTCTATTACCTGCATATGTCTGGTGTGTAAAGTTAGTTAGTGAGAGGGCTGCTCCTAACAAAGGTGAAACAGGCAACCCCTACTGTAATCTGCTTTGCCTTTTGAGATTCTTTATTAAAGAAGGACCCCCAGGGAAGAGTCTGGCAGAAGGATACCCTCAGAAAACAGTTTGATATACTGTGGTAATCTGAAATACATTTAAAAGTACCTGTGAAAACTTCTGTTGCAGGAAGTTCAAGGCAATGATTCCCTTTGCATTAAAACATACCTTAGCACAACTGGCTATTTCATAATAGTCAAATATATTTACTAGTGGTATTTTAACTGCATGGTACTAAGCTGTGGTTTGTTTTTTTCTTCTTCCTTTCCTTCTCCTTCCTCTCAGGATGAAAAGAATCAAGTATTAACAACAAATATCTGGCTACAAATGGTGAGTTTTGAAACAAAGTATGTTTTTTTTCCCCTTTGGTCTTTGAGTTTAATCTGGTGAGGGGGTTGAATTTTAGGAAACTTTCAAGCTTTTGTTCTGTATCTTGCTACATAGTGGACAAAGGTAAGCTGAATGGAAAACTGTAAGGCTGAGATTCAGGTCTTGATGTTGTTTCAGGTATTTCTGAAAACTTTTAACAATTTGAGTCACTACATCTAAGTAAGTTACTAACTGCCTGTAGTTGATTTAGTCACGCTAAACTCTTGATCACCGTAAGACACTGGTGCCCTAAGAGTCCCAGGTAGAGTAACTGTAGGTGCAAGTGCCTTATCACCCATTTCAACAAATCCATTATGTTGTGGTAAATCATTTGATTGTGACAGAGAACTATACATGCAAGAAATGCATTTCATCTGTAATAGCTGTTCTGATCAGCACTCTGAAAATCGCCAGATGGTTCTTCTGATACAGGGAAAAAATTCTTCCAAAGAGGTTCATTATCTCCTGAGAGCTGCTGCCACTGTCCTAACTGAATGTCTCTGCCATCCTATTTGCTTTGCTGTCTATCTCCTTAAGAAACTGCAAGAGGATTTTAATTAAAACGGCCATGCTGTTCCCATGTTGTTCAAAATGTTGTTGTTTAAACATGGGTCATCATCAGAAGTTAACTGTGAACGTGAGAGGTTTTTTATGTTACTTCTCCAAATTCTGTATCTCAGTTACATGACTAAAATGGGTATTGGAACATCAGTTCAGTTTCCTAGTTTTCAGCTGGGAACAGTATACTTTTTCCTGGTTTCCCAGATCGTTTTGCCCACATAGGGTGTTCATTTTTCAAACAAAAAGCTTTATTATACCTTTTGTTGCAATGTTTAGTTGCTATAGTTGTCACAGAATTTCACATCCTCTCTTATTACTTAACCATAACTATTGGCACCACTAGATACCACAGCAGAGAACTTTGCCCCCCCATTAGCTCATGGCAGGCATTGCTGGGCAGGAGTAAGTATCACTCACTTTTTAATAAATGAAACAGAAAATAGAATATTCAAGATCTTTGTGAGAGTATTCTGAATTTCTTTTCTCTGTAAGGTTAACTAGCGAGAGAGCTGCTCCTAAGCAAAGGAGCCTACGCAGATTTATTCTGACTTGATTGGTTATTTCTTTGCATTAGTGTAATACTAAGACTCAGAATTAGTCTAAGATGCTTCTCACCATGCTGACTACTGTGGACTCCTAATGCTTCCACAAAACATTTCTACCATAAGTTTGTGCTTTACAAAGATGGGGTGATATGTGGAGCTTTCTCCATACTGTGGCAGCTGGGATGAGAATTTGCCATTAGTTTAATTCCCATCTGTATTACAGAAACTGAACTGTTTGGGTTTACTGAAGAGTTTTATTATTCAAGATAAGCATGCTGCTTCCACAGAAACTTTACACCTTTCAGTTTCTTTAACCAGCTCATTCAGTTTAAAGGTATTTTTTCTTTTATTGTAACATTTTTTATAGAGCGCCTCTCTTGCACTGTGGTAGGCCTTTTAAGAAGCAAATGAAAGACTATTTTGATGACCTACAAAGGATAGCACGGCTATTCCATTTATTCACAAAGGAAAGTTGACATGGAAGAAGCATTCAGCTCATGTTATTTTACAGGCTTGTTGTACAGTAAGATTAAAACTGTCAAATATGATATGTTTTTGGCTTTGAACTACAATGACAACAGTTGCTATGATTTCTTATCAGAAAAACAGATGACAATTCAGACTCAAGAAGCTATCATTTATTTTCCTTCTCTTTTATCCCACAGCATCCTTATCCTTTTTGAGATTTTGTGTCCGTCCATCCCCCCCCCCCGGAAATTCCTGATTCTTTTATATATTCTGTATTTCTTTTTATTTATTCACCTTAGCATATACTGTATGTAGAGCATGTTAAGACTGCAATGAGCAGATCACTTGATTACTACAAAAAATGTAGCCACTCTTCATGGCCTGTGTACACATTAAAAAAAAAAAAAGAAATGTGTTTGCTTATTAACTGTCTATTAATGGTATACTAGACAGATTGAAAGCATGCTTAAGGCAAACATATGTCATTTTATCATGCTAAGTGGTCTGAAGTAAGTTTTTCCCTGAATTTCCCTCTCCACTCCTTTCTTGGTATATACGTGTGTATAATCAGAGCTGTATCTTAAATATATTTTATCTAATCATCACTGAAATACTTAAATACAAAAACTAACTTGGGAGAAAGGGGAATATCAATCTAGTATTTATACGTGCAGACTCTTTGATCCTGACCACTATCTCCATGGCAATACTGTTCAGTATCAAAATCTTAAACTTGATCTAAGTTACAGCAGGAGCCTTGCCTAGTCACACAGATTAATACTAACCCAAGTACCCCGAGCTGTTTGCTATTTTAATCCACATCAAAGGTACTTCAGCAACAGTGGAGACTGTAGCTCTAAAGTTAAAACAAAATGAGGCAGCTCGTGTCCAGCTGGATGGGTAAGCACTTTGTACACATGGCTAAACAGAGCAACCGTACAATCTGCTTAACATTATCTCTAATACAGACTTTAATATTAAGTTTTCTATCACCCTTTTGACTGTCCTTACATCATTCAGTGTCACCCTATGCTACATCGTATCAGCCATGATAACTCCTAAAAGAAGTTAGAGTAAGAAATTATTTGATATATTGATATAAATTATTGTAATACAGTTCAGATGGAAATGAACAGGAGAGCCTGCTGCACTCAACCAAGCCGGGGGGCAGCGAGCTTTGCAGCAGCTGCCTGCAGCCTGCCAGCCCCAGCCCTCCAACTGCTACTCAGAAAGTGACCTGTTGTGTCAGCTCCTGAAAATGAGTCGCCTAAAGCCAACAGGAGCCCACAGGTTTAAATGCCTCAAAAGTGCTCATTGTATTTGTTTACATTGCTGGACTTTGTAAAAAATAGAGGTATCATGAGGATCTCAGTATTTCTACATTCCAAAAAGATGAAGTGGTAAAAAATACAGTGACATTTGTCTATCAGGAAGTTCATGTAATACAATGTACTGTAAAAATGCATGTAAAATTTCCGAAAAAAGAAGATGAGAAGCAGTTGATCAGCTTATGGAAGCTGTGTATAGATGAGTGTAAGAAATACACATAGTTTAGATAACTGTAAATGGAGCAGGCAGCGAAAATAAAAAACTATGAACAGAGCTGATCAGCTATTCTGATTTAAGATTTCTATAAAAAACTATTACCTGTAAAGCAAAAGGAAAAAGCAATGCACAACTCAGATCATTTGTCCAGGTGACAAGGCACTACAAACTCATAGTAAAAAATGAATGGGATAAATACGGAAGCACAGGCCAAGAAATTGTATAGTAAAAGCTTTACAAAAGATGTGTGATGAATACTATTAGATGTCTTGCATGCAGCAAAACGGCCACTTACAAACACTGTTCTAGAGGTGCGAGAATGAATTTCAATACCTGCAGCGTGAGGCTAACTGGGGATTTGTTTGGTGTATCAAACTGAAACTTGCCTGTGACAGTAATGAAAGGAATTATATAGAACAATTTGATGTGAATACCGCATGAGAATGATCAGTAACATTACCACCACAATACCCATTGGAAATTTTTTCTGACCTTAATGTCTGTCAAAGATTTTGACAAGGGCCACTAGATTGTTGAAGGGATAAGTATTGTACATTTACTCACCCATTTCAAAGCTTACATTGGAAAGACTAACATTTGGCACTGCAAAAGCACTGTAAATCTGGAGAAGTTCTCACTGTAAGTTATGTGTTGCCTACAGCTAAGTGAAATTAATGTAAATAACATAATATGGAGATAGAGAGAGGCATAATATAATGAAGCATAGAAATTATAAGAAAAAATAAATTTTGTGAAACAAGATGAACTTTATTTCTTATTTATACCTTTTGCGCACAACAGTAACCACCCTTGTATCCCGGCAAGTCATCTGCTTAGTAAGGGGTGAAGTGCAACCTCAGTTTCAGGAAAACACGGTAGCTCATGCTAGTGTTTCTCAGGAGACTGGGGGGTAACCAGCTTGCTAGAGCTGCCACGGTACTCAGCTGCCTGCAGTTTGGGGCAGTGCTTTTGTTTATGACTGTGCACGACCATATGTTTCAATGACAGTATCTGGGATTTAGCAACGCTAAACACAGATCAAACCCCAGTTGGTTTGACTGCGACAGACTCCCTGCCTATACTGGCAGTCAAGGATGGGTTGAAAGGAGCATGGATAGCCCCCGGGGCAGATGCCTCCAGTGCAGTAAGTGCCAGCCAGGAAGGAAGCTTGTGGGACAGTGCAGTGCTGCCGAGTATCTGCTCCAGAGGTTGCCTAACTCCAAACCACAGGAGCTGCTAAGACTTCCTATGCTAGTATTAACCGTTCAGCCATTTCAGTTGTTTTCCCTGTCAGCAGTGACTGTTGGCTGCTCTACCTCATGTCTATAATCAAGTTATTACAACCTGAGAATTTTCAACAACAGAAAACAAAGTTGTCTATGAAGATAAACATAATTGAAGTTAATATATGAATTGTAAAAGAAAATCTGTCCTGTCCCAAATTCACACCTGAGACAGCATGAACAATAAAATACATGCACCCCAAATCTTCTTTTATAGGCTGTTATGTGCACTGCAGTGTGAATTGAAAATGAGATTTTTATGCTTTCCATTGAGCTCTAGGTGGCCTAACTCACCCTTTCCAAACATTTCACTGCCTGAAGCTAAATCATATCTCTTTAACAAGAGAACACCTATTGTTTCAGCCTATCCAGTCCCTAGAGAACTACAGTAAACCAGTGGATGAGATTACCTAACTTACTTTTTACGTGTATGTCTTAGTACTGGACGGATCATTATCTACAGTGGAACGTGTCTGAATACCCGGGAGTGAAGAATGTCCGTTTCCCTGATGGACTGATTTGGAAGCCAGATATTCTTCTCTATAACAGGTAGTCACATTTTTTTCGTGTGGGGAAGGAGAGAAGAACATAGAATTACAGAATCACAGAATAGCCCAGGTTGGAAGGGACCTCAAAAGATGAACGGGTCCAACCTTTTGTGGGAAAGGGGGCCTAGATGAGATTATCTAGCACCCTGTCCAATCGCAAAGATAAGGCAAGGCAAATGACATAATAATCTCATCAAAATGCCTAGGGTTTGAAATACTTTTCCAAAACTTTCTAGGTTTTTGCAATGCTGGAAAATTACCAGTCTCCTGTTTACACAACAGAAGGTCATATTTGCAAACACTTTGTAAACAACAACATCCTCCCTACCACCAATTCTAGTTAAATTTTGTGAGATGATTAGAAAACTAAACTTTTCTGGATGTGTTTAATGGCACAAGTAGTGATAATTTCCTCTTAAATTATTTGTTTGGTCTAAATGTTTACCGGTAAGTTCAAATCTGACTTTTAACTGCTTGTCTAGTTTTAGTTTGGGTTTCACTAGAGGCAGGATAGGTAAATGCCAGTAAGTATGTTTGCATTTTCTCATGTCCAGTTTTGGTGTCACTCTTTCTTCCTGCTACAGAAATAGCTAGAATATTTGCTGCTCTCCTCGTCAAACTATCTGTTGTGAGTTGGGCTTATTTCAAGGACAGACAGATTGCCATCAATCCACTGCAGAACCTTTGGCTGACATTGAGAGGTTCTTTGGCTGCACCATTATATGGCAGTTCCCATTGTGGAATTTATTTGGTTTAAAAAGATAAAGCACTGAGAGCTGTCTGCTCTTTAACCACTTGCCTTTTTCTGCAGTTGTTGTGGGCCTCTGTGCTGTTCCCCAGGTACTGGAAAGACCTTACATCTGCTTTGTACATGTTGCACTGGCTCTTTTGTGGTAGCCAGGGTATATTGGTGTTTTTTTGCCCATGCAGATGACATGAACCTTTTGTCTTCCTGATAGCTTTATTCCTCTGTTTCTCTGCCATGTGTCTACTAAGAAGACAACCCTGCTGTGTTTATCAATCTGATTCCCCCTCCCCACTTCAGGAGCCGCTTTTTGTTACAAGACCTAGAGAACAGTTGTACCCAATATGTCAGCTGCAGTTATGCTCCCTTTTGCCATTTGATGATCACCTTCATGATCAATGTCACTGTCACAGGTGCTGTTGAATTGTAATAATGTGATAACAGCACCCAGTGACAGCATTTGTCAGCCACTTAGTACTTCCCTCTAGGGCCTACATTACTGCTTTGCTTACAGCATGCTGCAGTGCTTCTCTCAAAGGTACAATTAATACTAAATGATTTGAGGTGATCTCCATCAGAGTTCACCATTCTTACGGTAACTGCCTGTCAGGATTACTTCTTGTTTCTGGTTTAAGCATGGCAATTAGCGATTCAGTTGTCCATACACCAGCCTAAAAAACCTTTCAAATGCTCTGTGCACAAAATGGACCAGCATGCAACCTGGACAGCTATTTTTGCAACATTAATCTTGCTTAATGTATTTTTCAATGCAAATTTGTTCTCTTGAGCATTTATTCCTAGCTACCTTGATTCCGTAAATGACAGCATTCTTGGGAGAATCTGACAAATCATGCATTCATTTCTGTTCTTCTGCGGAATAACACACTGTGTATGCCATAAAATTGGTACTCTACAACAGCAGTTTAGAGGTTTCTAAAAGAATGAATTATGATAATATTCTTCCTCACATATATCACATACCTGAGAGAGAATTTCAGTGTGTCTGAGGATTTATGCTTCAATATTTAAGTAAGTATATCCAAAATGAAAGCGTAATTTTTTTAGAAATTAGTAATATTAACACATACATGCTAACTGTAGCTGAAGGCATTATAGAATAAGAAGGCTGACTTAATAACCTGAAAAACTGAAAACACTAGTTTTCTGTTAAAACAGATTTTTGAATCTTGGGATTATTAACTATGGCATGGTCATGAAGTAATTATTCTACAGAGTTTCTATTTCGAACACATATTTGATCCAAAATCTTATTCAGAGTTTAGTCAGAAAGCAAAGCTATTTAAAACAAATACTTACTCCTGTATGAAATTGCATTGGGGATGTTATGACGTTCTCTTATGGTGACATGGTATTTTGAGCTAGATGCTTTCAATTTCTATACACTTCACTAGGGACATGCATCTGCAGTTACAAAGAAATTCACGAACAATAAATTCATTTTTCATTTTAATGAATGCATGTTTCACTATGTCGTGAGTCCTTATGCATCTTGCTGCAGCCTGGTACAGAGAAACTTGTGGCAGCTGTATTAAATTTTACAACCAGTCTGTTGTGAAGAATGCAGGGCCAGTTCATCTGTAGTTTTTCTGACGGAAGAAAATCTGGGCCTATGTACAAATTCCAGGATTGACTGTGTTAGTGTCATGTATGGCTCTCTTCCACTTTGTTAGTTTTACTAGACTTATTAAAAGTGTTCATTTCTGGTGGTATTATTTTCCAAAGGCTACATAGTGTTCAGTACTTCACGGAATAACAAGAATTCTGGTAGTTATGTCTCATTTTAACAGTTTCAGTTTTCCATTTTTATAAACCTGAGATTCTCCAGATAGGTCCCAGTGGGATTATATCTGCTAGGTACAGCTTTGTCATCTCAGTGTACTGCAGTCAATATCTGCTTTTAAGTGGTTATACCCTGAAGAAGAAATGTAGCAGAAATGGTTTTCTATCACTACATTTGAGAGCAAAGTCTCATCAAGCAAAGGCTTAGCTACTTGGTGCATTCCCAGTTGAAGCACTGCATTTCAAAAAACAATTAGAAGCACAGTGCAGAAAAACACATATGCTACTTTTTCAGAAAAAAGAATTTCATATTTAAGTGTGAGTACCTCTTGATATTCCTTTAAGAATGTGTCTTATGAAAGGCAAAGTCACATGGCAATGAAACCTAGGTTCCTTGATCACTTGTGTCCTTCTGAAAATTTTATTTTTGCCAATTACCAGAAACAGCAGCAAAGTCTTAGAAGCAACCCTCCGGTGCTTAACTGCCCTCCACTTGAGGGGAAGAGAACAGGATCTAGCCTAGGAGGCTAAGAATTTTATTTCTAGTCATTAATTTCCACTTTACAAATAATTTGTGTGGCATGGATATTTTTACATCCTAAATTTGACTACTTGTTTGAGTTTCATCATGTAGCCCCTATTAATTTCAAGTCAAAGCAATTACTTGTCTATGTCTAATATAGAAACCTGTTGCAGGACTTTAAGTCTGGTTTTCTAAGGAAACGAGACTTATGCATGTGTGTGCGTGCACACCTGTGTGAATATATGTGTTTGTGTATGATCTTTCTTGCTGCCCCTTTCCCCAATATCTTCTGAATCCAGTTCTGCCAAATTTAGCAGTGCAATCAGTAGAGATCTTAGCAGTACCAGTTTCTTACAAACGTCATGAAAACAGGCAGCCAAGACAAGGAGGTAGAACAATTAGTGCTCCAACTGGAAGAGAAGCTGCAACATGAACTCAGAGAATCCAGCCATGAGCTATGAAGCTGAAGGAGAGCGGCCTACATTAGTTCGACTGCCTTAGAATTGAATTGCCTTTTCTCCTCAAAGTGCTAGAATCCATTCATGCTACATACACAATATTTAGACTTTTCTGCTTGTCTTCAGAGTTCAAATTAAATAGCTGCGAAGATTTTCAACACTGTGAGCCTTCTGCTCACCACAGGAAAAAGTGCAACTCCAGATGGGCAAGTAATTATTTGGGTTTAGTTTTTTCTTGTCTGCTTATTTCACAGACCAGTCCAGATATTTTTAAAATGTCGTTTCTTCAAATACATAAGGGGAAAATAAAATGCAAAGTAACAATGACTAAAATAATGATTGCTTTATTTTAGCTTCTGAGATACAAAATTTGCATCAGAATAGATCAAATATTAAAGTCCTCTTTTTTAAAAAGCATATTTCAATACGGGTTTTCCTGCTGGAAAATATACCATTTATTATACTTTATTTTCTGCTACAATTATGAATATTTCACTTTCTCCCCATCCCAGATTCTTACTGTATTTTTCTGATGATGTTTTAGAAAGTCATTAGAAAATGATGAGATACTAAACCACTAATAGGCAAAGTGACATCAGAGACTTGTCATGTTCAAATCATCCTAGAGTCAACACAGGGTTTTAGATCAACGAAAGCACAGACTGCAGCAAGAAGCCAGACCCTGAGGCTCGTGCGACCTCCTCAGCCCTGCCCCAGAGTGGCTGGCACTGTATTTGCCTTGTGCGCCAACCCATCCCCACAAGGTGACTGCTTGGAAACTACAAACAATACAACAAAGTACAGTAGCCTATGTCTCATGTTGCTTATCCCCCGCACAGATGAAAGCCTGAGAAAGGAGCCTATGTCTATAATCAGGGCCAACAGCCATTCAGACATGGACTCAACACAGCAACTCCTGAAATAATTTTGAGATGCAAAGAACATTCGCTGCTAGTACCTTCCCAGTACATTCCGTGCAATTTAATCTAGGCACCAATTTCAGTAATTATGACAATTTCTTGAATACCTAGGTCCCAAACTTTAAAGGATCAGAACCTGAAACCAGGTTTGTGGGTTCTGAAGTAGATAATGAAGGCTGGAGCTGCATGAAACAGTCTTATGTAGTAATAACGTTCACCCATGCAAAGGGGTAGGATGAGACACTGGAGTACCCATCTCCCCAGCATTCATTAGCTGCTGTTAATGTAGACAGCAAGAGAACAGATTTCCCTGTACAGTTGCTTGAGAAGTTTTTTAAAAGTGCTTACTTTCCAAATGGAAATCAATAGAGCCAAGGCACTGTAATGAATGTAGTGGGATAGGTGAGCAGCGAGAATGAGGCGACTCACCTTCACTTACAGTTGTTAATCAGGAACAAATCCAATAGTATCAGGCCAGTTACTCTGAGGCCACAGAAAACTGGTGACAGGAGAAAAGCTGTCAAGTTTTTCGGGAGAAATAATCCCTCTATGAAGAATGGATTCATCTCAGATATTCTTCAGCCAGTCAAAAAGCCTATAAACCATTTTGTTTCTTTCTTATTCTAGTGCTGATGAGAGATTTGATGCTACATTTCATACTAATGTTTTAGTCAATTCTTCAGGACATTGCCAATACCTGCCACCAGGTAGGTTGTTTTCATGTCATAAATTTTGATAAGTCAGACTACTTATGTATGGTGTGGTTTCAAATTTGACATCAGTTCTCTGATATTTTATTTATCTAGCTAGCACCATCTGATAGATTTAAGCCTAGATGCATCATGATTTACATGGTTAACACTTTTGTATGAAAACCACCATACAAGATACATTTTTTATTGCAATTATGTAAATTCTTCTGTCATAATGCACTATTTCAGAAGTGTGGAAGTATAAAAGAAGATAAAAAATAAAAGCCCTTAATATAAAAAGATATTGTTTATTAAAGCCATGGTAATGCCTTTTAATAAAAATTCATTTCATTGATTTGGTTGTTTCTTCTATTAATACGTTAACTGTACAATAAGATGCTTAGTAACATCTTGGATGTATTTTCTATTTGAAATGATTCACTGGATGCTTCATCAAAACAATTTTTAGTCTGAAAGGAAAGTGTTCTATGTTTGACATTTATTTGATATCAGAAATATATCACTGACTCTCTGGATGTATAGCAGTGGAGTACTGTTTCTGTTCACAAACTCAGTTAGCCTAATTCTTAGAATTAACTCTTCCTAAAATCCAAATTTTAGAAACTACAGCAATAGAGCCAAGTGCTCTCCAGACAAATTAGTTTTTCCACCCACCCCAGAGGATTTCAGGCGTTTGCCTGTTGTTCTTTTGATTTAAGATGTTCCATTTGGTGGGGGTTTTTAAATTCAATTCTGAAAGCTGCTAAATGACAGGGCCTGAAGCAACAAGTAAAAAATAAGAAGCTAGCTTTCCTGAATAAATCACGATCATGTAAATCTAATAAGACAACAAATAATCTTTCAGGTTGTCTTATTTTATTCAGTAAAAGAAATAGGAGAAACAGATTGCATATTCTGCTTCATTTCTTTCTGAAATACAGTATCTAGAAATCTGAGGTCTTCTCTAAACATTCTCCCACTATGTGCCAAAATGGAAATGTAGTTCAGAAAACAGTTTCTAACATCAATATATTAATGGTGCAGTTCTTCCCTTTTCTATGACTGACTTTTGCTATTTACATGTCAAGACACAACTGAGATTAAACATGCTTTACAAGTTAAAAACAGAGGGTGCAAAGTAGAACAAGGTCTGGTTACAAAATGTACATGAAATTATGTGGAACAAGCATTTAAATTAAGTGTTCTTGTTTAAAACCCAATCTAGGCATATTTAAAAGCTCATGCTACATAGATGTGCGCTGGTTTCCATTTGACGTTCAGAAGTGTAACCTGAAGTTTGGATCCTGGACTTACGGAGGCTGGTCCTTGGACTTACAAATGCAAGAAGCAGATATATCTGGCTATATTTCAAATGGAGAGTGGGATTTAGTAGGTAAGCCCTTGATTTCTTATTTATACCATGAACTTGCAGCCTTGTCTCCACTGCTGAAATGGATGGAATAATGATTGGGAAATGAAGACAGAAATTAAATTAATAAATGACCTAGCTAGTGGCATTTGAAACTCTGAGAACAGATGTAAGATGAATATAAACATAGTATTATGTAACTGACATAATACTGACAAACTTGCTAGTAACTGACAAAATTGCTGCTTGAATTCAGTAAGTATCTTTTATCTGATTTTCCTTTATTATCTGACAAAAATTACTTAATTGGGAATTAAGCTTAAAGAAGTAGTTTTACCTGTAGTAAAACTTAGAAAGCTACATTTATTCTTTTTTAAAAATAATCATTACATAATATACAGTTTATTCACATTAATTTCTGGTTTTCTTCCTTTTCCCTCCTACACAGGAGTTCCTGGGAAGAGAACTGAGAGTTTTTATGAATGTTGTAAAGAACCCTACCCAGATGTAACATTCACAGTAACTATGAGACGTCGGACTCTCTATTATGGACTCAATCTTCTTATTCCTTGTGTACTGATATCGGCACTTGCTTTGTTAGTTTTTCTGCTTCCAGCAGACTCGGGAGAAAAGATCTCACTAGGTAAATCCTTAATAGCATATTGTAAATATGACCAAACCAAAAGAAATTGTCCTTTTTTAGGTTTTTTAAACAATCTTAGTAGTCAAGGAGGAATAGCCTGGAGCCTATTCTGGCTCATGAGCTATTTTTACTGTTTGATGCTGAAGCTGTGTGATGTTTAACCCTTGCTCTCAGCTTAGGGTACACTGAAGTTGTGACATGGAGAAATTCCAGCCAACCAAGCAGAAGCATGACAATTCCTGACTACCTTCCTTAAGAAGCAAGGTTTCATTTTTTGACGTTTATTTGCTGAAGAAAAATCCCACATTCACTGAGTAAAGCTTAAGTTTACAAATATGCATTTAAACATTTTAACATAGAATTCTTCTTAATATCTCCTTTTAATATTGAGTTGTATTATGAGCCTAAGGTGCCTTCTCAGAAAGACTGATTCTAGCTACTACTATTCTAATTTTTATAGTGAATTTTAACTAAAGTATTGGTTTGTGAAACAAATCTGATGACTAAGTACTTGATCCTTAAGATGGAGGTTAAATATATAATGAAACTTTTTGCCCCGTACAAAACTGCAAATGCACTGGCTTCTACTAAGTGAACATAGCTGTGAAAAAGGTAGAAACAAAATTGACATTTCTCCAGAACGTGGTTTAATTGAGTAGTAGCCTCCCTAATCAAGAAGTCTCTCCCCGTATTTTAAGATTAATTCTTTGTTCCTAAATCCTTTTCCACCTGACAATGACTCATTATTGTTTAAAACTAGCCCTGAGAAAAGCTAAGCTTGTTCCAGAAAGATGGGAACTCATCACTGTGCAACAGAAGTCAAACTCCAAAAATCAACACTCAAGACTGCTTGGGCACAGCCACATGCAGAACCCAACAGCTAATATCAAACGGTATCAAAGTCTGTCCAAGACAGCAAATCTGTTTTTCAGGAATATTATGCATTACACCACCTGTAGGTTCCATGCCAATTAATCAAGTGTCATATGCTCAAATACTCAAAATCACACCATGTTTCTAAAGCAAACAAGCAGCAAGAATTACTTTGATTTACCTCAGCTAATTAGCAACTGGTGATAAAAGCTGAACAGCTACAAGGATCTAAAAATATATACATCTGTGCAAGCATTGGCACTAGTCTGGCAGCACCACTACCCTGAACTTGAGGTAGTACAAGAAACAATAGGAGTACCACTAATGTGCTGGTGCGAGGGTAACAGTGGGAATGCATCTTGCAAAAAGCACTCCTTCAGATTCATTTTCTGCTTCTTGCTGCCTTGTAATTACAAGCTACTGATCTAATTTCATACTTCATGTTTATCTTTCAGGTATAACAGTTTTATTGTCTCTCACTGTCTTCATGTTACTTGTGGCTGAAATAATGCCAGCAACATCTGATTCTGTGCCCTTAATCGGTAAGCTAACTACAGCTTTTATTCACTTTTATTTTTTGTCAAATGAGGTGCAGTGACTTTGCATGAAGGCCAGCAGTAAGGCAAATTACCACCTGTACAATGGCCTACTGCAATTGAATTAGAAAAATGCTGCCAATTGATGAGAGGCTCTGATGGGTGCAATCCCCTATACAACTTCTGTGCTCTCTGCTCTGAACAAAATAGAGAAACTATGTGTATTTTGGGAAAGAGTAAGGGAGTCAGTTTTCTATGGAAGAAGTTGTCGCAGTTTTGACACAATTGGCCAGACATTAGGAATACAGAGCTAAACGTGATTAAATCTTCCCATTGTAATTGCTCAAACAGAAAGAGAAACTTTACAAAAGAAGTACTAGTCAGTCTCTACAATACTGGTGAAAGAAAATTAGAGGACAATCTTTTTCACGGTTGCTTAAAAAAGGCAGGTGCTCAGTTTCACAAAGACAATTATTAAAGGCTGGCAAGCCTCTCAAAATAACAGCTGCTCTTCCTGCTTTTGAGAAGTCTTTCACAAGTACCTAAAGTAGCACGTGTATCACCACACTGGAAAAAGAACTTAACACTATGTATGCATGTATATAAACACCCTTTATAATAGCTACAAAGCGATATCAGCCAAAGTATATTGCTGTAATTATCTGTTTATTTTGCAGCTCAGTATTTTGCCAGCACTATGATTATTGTTGGTCTTTCTGTTGTTGTCACTGTTATTGTTCTACAATACCATCATCATGATCCAGATGGGGGAAAAATGCCTAAATGGGTAAGGTTTGATTTTCATTCATTATCCATTGTATAAATGTCCAGATCAGGGATGTGATAGAGTAGCTAGTGACCCATGTTTACTTCTTACTGTTGAAAACATATAAATCCTTCCTAAATATTTTGTTTGGAAAAGTAGTTTCACCAGAAATGACATGTCTAGATACTTTTCGTGTGGTTGGCTTCTTAGGGAGTGTGTGTGTGCGAGATAGAGATTGACTATACCTCAACTAGCTTCTATATTCAGAATCTCCTTCACAACAGCTAGAAGCACCTCAGGATTTTGCTAAAACCTAAATATATAAATGAAGGTGATTTTCAAATAAGCTGCAGATGTCAGAAGTGAAACAGGTAGAAAGAAAGAGTAAGGTGCTGATGGAGATTATAAACGCATGAAATACACTAGCCTCAAGGTGCAACTGTGCAGCTGCTACATGTTTAGCTGCTCTGCATACAAAACATCAATAGCCTAAAAAGCACTTGTTAAAGATGGCTGTTAAAGTGGAAGTGAAACTTGCTCTGAAAATCCTCATCTTTACATCTCTGGTCAAGAACATCTGTAAAATGCAAAGGAAAATTAAAGTCTTCTTCTAAGCACATAAGACTTTCTTTATAACGTACTTCTATGAGTGGTTGTTTTTACAGGGAACATTACACTGATACTGGATTACCAGGTATTGATGAGTATCATCAGCTAACTGTCCACTCTTCCTGACTTCACCCAGCTCATGGCAGCATCAGGCATTACTGAAGATGGAAAGACCTTTTTCTTTTTTTCTCTCTAGAACAATGAGTTACTATTATCCTTACTAGCCAAAAAGAATGTGCGTACAGCAGTGCCCTGTGGACAAGAGATAATGAGATATTCCCCGACCTATTCTGGGGTAGTGACTTTAAAATAAATTTCAATGAAGAGAATAAAAGGTATATATCTTTAGACGCATGTTTGATGACCTGAAGGGGACAAATATTTAGTACTGAGCCAAACATCCTCAGAAAACAGAGTACTTGACATTGAGGAGTGAGCTTTAGTGTTGAGAAGCTGAAGTCCATTAAACATTGTTTGGATATTGGTGGATTTTGGATCAGGCCCTCAGTTAATGGAACATTATCCTTCTTGGTGAAGCTTGATAGTGTAAATAGGACGAGATCTAAGAAGAACGTAAGAAGAACATAAGAAGAACGGGCGGGGAAGACGACCAGCCTGGCTGAACGGGGAGCTTTTGCTGAGACTCAGGAAAAAAAGGAGAGTTTACCACTTGTGGAAGAAGGGGCAGGCGACTCAAGAAGAGTACAGGGATCTCGTTAGGTCGTGCAGAGAGGAAATGAGAAAGGCAAAAGCCCAGCTAGAACGCAACCTGGCCGCTGTCGTTAAAGACAACAAAAAAAGTTTTTACAAATATATTAATGACAAGAAGAGAGCCAGGGAGAATCTCCATCCTTTATTGGATGCGGGGGGGAACATTGTCACCGAGGATGAGGAAAAGGCTGAGGTACTTAATGCCTTCTTTGCCCCAGTCTTTAGCAGTCAGACTAGTTATCCTCAGGGTACTCGGCGCCCTGAGCTGGAAAACAGGGATGGCGAGCAGGATGAACCCCCCATAATCCAAGAGGAAGCGGTCAACGACCTGCTACGTCATCTGGATACTCACAAGTCTATGGGGCCGGATGGGATCCACCCGAGAGTGCTGAGAGAGCTGGCGGAGGAGCTAGCCAAGC